GCCGGGTACGGGTAGGCCGTGATTCACTGGTGAGTAACCGTTTGTCACTCATTTCGGGTAGGGTACGGGTACGGGTAGGGAACGGGTACGGGTAGGGTACAGGTACCCGTATCCGGCCGGGTACGGGTACGGGTACCCGTTTGTGACCCTGGTGCGGCCGGGTACGGGTAAGGAATCAAAACCCGTTTGCGAACTCTGCCCTGCGTGTGTTCTCTAATCCCCGTGCTCCTCTCTCCCTGTCTCGCCTGGTAGAGGCCTTTACGAGCGTGAACCCTGTGGCGAACCTGCAAGTGCTGGAAGAGGTGGCCGTGTACCCACACGTTACCCCACCCCACACGTGACCTGCCCATCGCCGAGCTGCGGAGTGACCCACAGGCTACACACAGCAGCAGCAGCAGCAGCAATCATCGCCCACCTACTGCCAGACTAATAAGCACACAGGGACATCTCCCACTGGGGGTGCCCCTAGGCTACACCCACACACAGCAGCCATCATCGCCCCCTTCACAGCACACTAATGTACTGGGACAGCTACCACTGGGGGTGCCCCTAGGCTAGACCCACCCACAGTAGCAACGATCGCCCCCCTACTGACAGACAAATGCTCCGGGTCACTGCTTGTGAATCAGACTGCTACCCCGCTCGCACAAACTTATATCTGCAGCTCTACGCATCTCTGCGTACAATATCTCTGCATCTCCGTGTCATGTTGATGACAGAGGAGACCCAGGGCCGCTCCTTGCAAACGGGACTCCTACCCCGGCCTGATGAGTTGTCGGCTGGGTTCAAATACAACCCCAACTACCTCGCGTGGCAAACAGCAAGTTGTGGGTTCGAGATCCCGACCTTGACGCCCTCCGTAGCCGCGTGGGTTTTTCTCAGGGTCCTCCGGTTTTCCCTCCACATTTAGAGTCGACATCCGCGCGTTTAAGAGTAGTTTAGCTACCGCTATAAATGTCCACGCGATGATGATGATGCTGATGATAAGCCCACTTCGCTTGTGATGGCGAGGTCACAGCTCAGCGTGACCTTACCTAGCAAAATAAAAATAGTTTATAGTTTACAACACACTTGAAACTTGACCATCATTCATCGTCGTCGTCGTCATCTTTGTCATGTTTACGAGGTGAACCCAGTCCTGCCCCGTGCGCCAATTTAATTAATTATTTAACATCACCCCAACCCCCCCTCTCTCTCTCTCTCTATCTCTCTCGCTCTCTTCTTTTTTTTACGATCAGTGGAAATAAGAAGATGCTTGGTGTAGTCGGCATTTTGCTTCGTTCATCATTTCGTACATTTTTTTTTACTTTGCTTTATGTAAACCCCCACCTCTCGCTCACTTTCTCGCTCACTCTCTCGCTCGCTTGCTCTCTCTCGCTCGCTCTCTCTCGCTCACTCTCTCGCTCACTCTCTCGCTCACTCTCTCGCTCACTCTCTCGCTCTCTCTCTCGCTCACTCTCTCGCTCACTCTCTCGCTCACTCTCTCGCTCACTCTCTCGCTCACTCTCTCGCTCACTCTCTCGCTCGCTCGCTCGCTCTCTCGCTCACTCTCTCGCTCACTCTCTCGCTCGCTCGCTCTCTCGCTCTCGCTCGCTCTCTCTCTCGCTCACTCTCTCGCTCACTCTCTCGCTCGCTCGCTCTCTCGCTCTCGCTCGCTCTCTCTCGCTCACTCTCTCGCTCTCTCTCTCGCTCACTCTCTCGCTCGCTCTCTCGCTCGCTCTTTCGCTCACTCTCTCAGTCATTCTCTCGCTCGCTCTCTCACTCACTCTCTCAGTCATTCTCTCGCTCGCTCTCTCACTCACTCTCTCAGTCATTCTCTCACTCGCTCGCTCTCTCACTCACTCTCTCTCTCGCTCACTCGCTCGCTCTCTCGCTCGCCCTCTCGCTCACCCTCTCGCTCACTCTCTCGCTCCCTCTCGTTCTGCACGCAGCCCCCCTCGCAGTCCAACGGCCTCCGACGGGTAGCTCATATCAGCATGCAGAGCTCCCCGTCATCTGCCACCGAGCACACGGCCTCCTCCATCGCCCACTGCTCCTTGAAGGCCGGCACGGCGTGGGTCAGCCGCGCATGGCGGAACTCCAGCCACACACCCTGGCTCTCTCTCTCTCTGTGTCTCTCTGTCGTTCTCTCTCTCTGTGTCTCTCACTCGTTCTCTCTCTCTCTCTCTGTGTCTCTCTCTCTCTCTGTGTCTGCATGTGCCAACTCCGGAGTCGAGCGGCCACTCCGGTCCGGTAAACATCGGCGGATCCGGTCCGGGCGACGCTTGAAACCGCCGCCCCGATGCCAGAATTCACAAGTGTGCGGTAATTCGGCACCAATGTGGCTGAGGGGCGGTGATGCGGTCGGACGAGGAGGAGGGGGGAGGGAGGTGGTGGTGGGTGCCAGGATGGGTGCACGAGGGTCAGTGGCACAGCTTCAAGAAAGGGGCGTTACGGGACGTGTGTGTGTGTCTGTGTGTGTGTGCGCGTGTGTGTGTCAGTGTGTGTGTGTCAGTGTGTGTGTGTCAGTGTGTGTGTGTCAGTGTGTGTGTGTCAGTGTGTGTGCGTGTGTGTGTGTGTTCGTGGTGCTGGCGAGCGATAGTGTAGCGGTTAGCGCGCTGCGCTATGAACCCGACCACCCGAGTCCGATTCCCGCTCACGGCCACTAATACCAGTGACAATTATCTGAACCGGTTCTGGGCCTCCCCTAGGTCGACTCAGCCTCAAATGAGTACCTGGTGTGGTGTGTAAACATCGCCGCTAGGGAGACAAAGGCGGTCGGGCGTGGTGCTGGCCACCCACCCCCTCGTGTACCGTTCCGGCCTTCATAGGTGCTCGATAACAGCACTTGCCCCTACAGTCTGTTAAGGCTACACGGGGGATCTTTGTTTGTAGTGCTGGCCACCCGCCCCCCCCTAGACTAGACAACACAGCAGCAGCAGCAGCATTGCCCCCCCCCCCTCCTGTGAAACGACCGCAGGCTGTGTGTGTGTCGTGTGAAACACTGCGGCGGTCCCTACTATCAGCGTGAAGATGAGACCTGTGCCACACAGGGACAGCTGCCACTGGGGGTGCCCCCCTAGACTAGACAGCCGACGACGTTTCAATCAACCAACCGCGTCGCGACCGACTGGCTGAGGCAAAGGGCATCGATTGAACGCGCACCGTGTCATGGGAAACCGATTATTTACAATTTGTGCAAGTTTCGATTTAAAGCTTTCGTGACTGCAGGGATTCATCTTCTTGGTTCTTTCGGTAAAGTCACGTAGAAGGGAAGTAATAAAATAATAAAAATAAAACATAATAAAAGAAAATAATATAATAAATAATATACTAAAATAATATACTATATTATTTTATTATGTTTTATTTCTATTATTTTATTACTTCCCTTCTACGTCACTTTACCGAAAGAACCAAGAAGATGAATTTGTGCAAGCTCGCCTTGCGAATGTTGCACGCGACATTTGCCTTACCTTCGGGCCAAGGGAAGAAATAAGACAAACTATATAGAAACGAGACGGAACAAAGCCAACTAGAAGCAACAATGCCAACGAGACGGAACAATACAAACTGGATGGAAAGACAATGCACCAGAGGCAGAGGCAGAGGTCGCAACCGGGTACCCGATACCCGTACCCTACCCGATACCCGGCTACCCGTACCCGGCCGGGTACGGGTACCCGTTTGCGACCCTGGTGCGTCCAGGTACGGGTACGGGTAGACCGTGAGTCACTGGTGAGTCACCGTTTGTCACTGATTTCCCAACGTCTTGTCTCTTCTCACAATTCAAGTTCCTAGAATCAACCCACCCGCGCCTGCAACATGGCTTCATCCCAGAGGTTGCAATCGGGTACCCGATACCCGTACCCTACCCGTACCCGGCCGGATATGGGTAGGGTGCGGCCGGGTACGGGTAAGGAATCAAAACCCGTTTGCGACCTCTGGGCAGACGACACACACGCACACGTGAAGATGCCAAGGGTCGTGCCGTTCCTCGAACGGAACTTGGAGCACAAAGCGAGAAACGTGGCCGCTCAATCACCACCACCATCACCACCACCATCACCACCACCATCACCACCACCACCATCACCACCACCATCACCACCATCACCACCACCATCACCAACCACGACCTAGAGCCTCGTTCCAGCTCAATCAGACACCCGCCGGTGTCCGATTGCAATGAGATGCCAACAATTGTGTGCAAGTGCTACTTGTGTGTTTGCTAATGTGACAAATTGTCAATCAGCTCAACAACGACGCTGTTGGCTTGTGTTCGATCGGGGTGTCAATATACATGCGGGACGCGCCAGGCACTCAACCCCGCTGCCAAACCACTGAACACCACCACCACTACTAAGATCCCACCACCAAGCGCCACCACCACCACCGAACACCACCACTAATGCCACCACCACTACCGATACGACCACAACACCCGACCACTAAACAACACCACCGCCATAAAGAACTACCACCGAACACCACGACCACAACACACCGCTAAACATCACCACCACCTTACCCCACCACCACCACCCACCGCCACACTGCAATGCAACACAGACCACCGCCACCACCGCCACCACCGCCGCCACTACCACCACCGCCGCCACCACCACCACCGCCGCCACCGCCACCACCACCACCACCGCCACCACCACCACCACCACCACCGCCACCACCGCCACCAACGCCGCCACCACCGCCACACCACAACTCAACACAGGCCACTACCACCGCCACCACCGCCGCCACCACCGCCACCACCGCCACCAAAACCACCACCGCCACCAAAACCACCACCGCCGCCACCACCGCCACACCACAACTCAACACAGGCCACCACCACCGCCACCACCGTCACCACCACCACCACCACCACCGCTGCCACACCACAACTCAACACAGGCCACCACAATCACCACAACCACCGCCGCCACACCACAACTCAACACAGGCGACCACAACCACCGCCGCCACCGCCATCATCACCGCCGCCGCCCCCCCATCACCTCGCTGCGGAAGGCCTTCTGCGACACGGCGGCCGCCGCTGCCGCCGCGGCCATGGCCCCCGCCATGCTCGCCGCGGAGGGGGCCATGCCGGGGCCCATGGCGCCGCAGGAGGGGTCCCCCAGCGTCAGCTGCGGGAGGTAGGAGCCCCCCGGGAAGAGCAGGTGGCCCCCGAGGGAGAGGTCTGTGAACAGCCCCATGGGGGCCTGCGACAGCATGGGCAGGTACGGGGAGAAGGAGGCGTAGGGAGAGTGACTCTGGGCGAAGATGCCCCCCGCGTGGGCCGCCGGGAAACCCTGCAGCATCGGATAGATCTGCGAGATGGTGGATTGGGGGGGTGGGGGGGGCACAGAGGGGGAGAGAGATGGAACAAGAGAAACGCGAGGCGTCGAGAGACACACTGCTGCACCCCGGGGTGGGGGCGGGGGTGCAGATCTTCCCAACATTCCCAGGTTGTCGAGGCCTCGGCCTATGACCTACCCATCAAGGCCTCTGCGCTCCCAGGCTGTCGAGGCTTCGGCCTATGGCCTACCCATCAAGGCCTCTGCACTACCAGGTTGTCCAGGCTTCTGCCTATGGCCTACCCATCAAGGCCTCTGCACCACCAGGTTGTTGAGGCTTCGACCTATGGCCTACCCATCAAGGCATCTGCACTACCAGGTTGTTGAGGCATCTGCCTATGGCCTACCCATCAAGGCCTCTGCACTACCAGGCTGTCGAGGCTTCGACCAGTGGCCTACCCATCAAGGCCTCTGCACTACCAGGTTGTTGAGGCCTCGGCCTATGGCCTACCCATCAAGGCCTCTGCACCACCAGGTTGTTGAGGCTTCGACCTATGGCCTACCCATCAAGGCATCTGCACTACCAGGTTGTCGAGGCCTCGGCCTATGGCCTACCCATCAAGGCCTCTGCACTACCAGGCTGTTGAGGCTTCGGCCTATAGCCTACCCATCAAGGCCTCTGCACCACCAGGTTGTTGAGGCTTCTGCCTATGTCCTACCCATCAAGGCCTCTGCACCACCAGGTTGTTGAGGCTTCTGCCTATGTCCTACCCATCAAGGCCTCTGCACCACCAGGTTGTTGAGGCTTCTGCCTATGGCCTACCCATCATGGCCTCTGAAGTACCAGGCTGTTGAGGCTTCTGCCTATGGCCTACCCATCAAGGCCTCTGCACCACCAGGTTGTTGAGGCTTCTGCCTATGTCCTACCCATCAAGGCCTCTGCACCACCAGGTTGTTGAGGCTTCTGCTTATGGCCTACCCATCATGGCCTCTGAAGTACCAGGCTGTTGAGGCTTCTGCCTATGGCCTACCCATCAAGGCCTCTGCACTACCAGGTTGTCGAGGCTTCGGCCTATGACTGGCTCCTCACATTTCCGACTAATCTGTGGGAACGGCCGCGGCGGCGCTACACAAGTCGACATCGTCGTCATCGTCATCATCGTCGTCATCGTCGTCATCGTCGTCATCAACATCATCACCGTCATTACCATGGGGTGCACCTGTGGCGCCTGCAGGGTGCAGGTGGCGCCCGCGCTCGCCATGTGCATGTGCTGCGCCAGCAGTGCGGCGCTCTTCTGCTGCAGCAGGTTGTTGCGCCCGTTGATCTCCAGCTGCGCCTTCAGGTGCTGCGGCGGGTGCAGGTACTTGCAGCTGTCGCGTGTGCAGCGGTCCTGTTGGGTGCGTGGGGGGGGTCAGAAGCGGGGGTCAGACGCGAGGGTCAGACGCAGGGGTTAGACACGGGGGGGTAGACACGGGGGTTTAGACGCGGCGGTTTAGACGCGGGGGGGAAGACATGGGGGTCAAGACGCGGGGGTAGACGCGGGGTAGACACGGGGGGTTAGACACGGGGGGGTAGACAAGGGGGTTTAAACGCGGGGGTCAGACGCAAGGGTTAGACACGGGGGGGGGGGGTAGACATGGGGTCAAGACGCGGGGGTTAGACACGGGGGGTAGACACGAGGGGGTAGACGTGGGGGTTTAGACGCAGGGGTTAGACACGGGCGGGTAGACATGAGGGGTTAGACACGGGGGGGGGTAGACACGGGGGGGGGGTAGACACGGGGGGGGGTAGACACGAGGGGGTAGACGTGGGGGTTTAGACGCAGGGGTTAGACACGGGCGGGTAGACATGAGGGGTTAGACACGGGGGGGGGTAGACACGGGGGGGGGTAGACACGGGGGGGTAGACACAGGGGGTTAGACACGGGGGGGTAGACACGGGGGGGGGTAGACGCGGGGGTTTAGACGCGGGGTTTAGACACGGGGGGTAGACGCGGGGAGATATGGAAAGACAGAGCAAGAGATACACGGGAGGGAGGGGATGCGGGGAGAGAGACGGGGGGAGACGCAGGGAGATGGGGAATGATGGCGGTGATGGGTGGGAGACGCGGGGAGACGGAGCTCAGAGGCAGAGTCAACACATTTAAAATGGATTGGCCTTTTCTATTTCGTGCAGTCACTGGTGACGGGACCGAGACCGTCAACTACACTGGAGCACCCGGTTATGGTCAGGGGCCGCTGGAATACCTCCGCATCCCATCCCTCTGTGTGTCTCTAACACGGCCATTATGAACACCTGAGAGAGACACACAAACACACAAACACACAAACACACAAACACACAAACACACACAAACACACAAACACACACAAACACACAAACAAACACACAAACACACACACACAAACACACAAACACACACACACACAAACACACAAACACACAAACACACACACACACAAACACACAAACACACACACACACACAAACACACAAACACACACAAACACACACAAACACACACAAACACACAAACACACAAACACACAAACACACAAACACACACACAAACACACAACACACAAACACACAAACACAAAAACACAACACAAAAACACACAAAACACAAACACACAAACACACAAACACACACAAACACACAAACACACAAACACACACAAACACACACACACACAAACACACAAACACACACAAACACAAAAACACACAAACACACACACACAAACACACACAAACACACAAACACACAAACACACACAAACACACACAAACACACAAACACACACAAACACACAAACACACAAACACACAAACACACAAACACACACACACAGACCGAGGGCTCGAACCCAGGTCTCTCAGCTGGACTGGCTCGGTTGTCTCCGGCACGGCCATGGTGAACCCTTCACCGCCGGTGATCCCCCTGTTTGTTTGGATTATTTTTGTTTATTTTGGTTCTCGGCTGGGCCCAGTGACAGCTGCGAAGACTTCCTGCCGTGCGGCCTACAGAGAGCGGCAGGCACGCGCGCTTAAAGCGGAGAGTGACGTTGGGCGCCCGGCAGTGAAAGGTGCTGAAAGACGCAGGGGCCTCACCCCCCCCCGCTCGCTCGCTCACTCACCGGCTCACTCACTCATGCGGTCACTTACTCGCTCACTCACTCACCGGCTCACTCACTCATGCGGTCACTTACTCGCTCACTCACTCACCGGCTCATTCACTCACCAGCTCACTCACTCACTCATGCAGTCACTCACTCACTCACCGGCTCACTCAATCATGCAGTCACTTACTCGCTCACTCACTCACCGGCTCACTCACTCACCGGCTCACTCACTCACTCACCGGCTCACTCACTCACGCACTGGCTCACTCACTCACGTGGTCACTCACTCACTCACCGGCTCACTCATTCACCAGCTCACTCACTCATGCGGTCACTTACTCGCTCACTTACTCACCGGCTCAATCACTCATGCGATCACTTACTCGCTCACTCACTCACTTACTCACTCACCAGCTCACTCACTCACCGGCTCACTCACTTACTCACTCACTCACTCGCTCACGTGGTCACTTGCTCACTCACGCGGTCACTCACTCACCGGCTCACTCACTTACTGGGTCGCTTACACGCCCCTCTTGCGCTTCTGTTCACCCGCTCGCACCTTAATTCACAGACTCACTCACTCACCGACTCACCCCAAGCACCCTACTCACTCAGTCACGCAATCACTCACTCACTCACCCATTCACTTACACAGCCATCCACCCACTCGCTCATTAATTCACTTACCCACTCACTCACCCTGTCAATCGACCAAGAACCCAATCAATCTCCCACACAATCAATCACTCACCCAATAAATATATCTCCCACCCAATCAATCACCGAATAATCACCAATCCACCCAATCAATCACTTACCCAATCAATCTCTCCCACACAATCAATCTCTCCCACACAGTCAATCAATCTCCCAATCAATCAAACACACAATTACTCACCCAACCAATTAACCACCAAACAAATTAACTACTCTCTTAATCAATTTCGTGCCCACTCACCTATTCAACGAGTGACTCACCTACCCACCGACCAAGTATCTGGGTAGGAGTGATTTGGTGAATGATCGAGCGAGCGAGAGAGACACAGCTAGTGGATGAGTGGGTGCGTGACTGACCGAGTGATTGTGTGAATGAATGAGTGAATGAATAAGTGAGTGGAGGAGTAAGTGATGGAGCGAGTGAATGAGTTGGCGAGCGAGTGAATGAGTGGGCGAGTGATTTAAAGAGTGGGCGAGCGACTGAATGAGTGATTTAAAAAGTGGGTGAGCAAGTTAACGAGTGGGTGAGTGATTTAAATAGTGGGCGAGTGATTTAGAGAGTGGGCGAGTGAGTGAATGAGTGGGCGAGTGATTTAAAGAGTGGGCGAGCGACTGAACGAGCGGGCGAGTGATTTAGAGAGTGGGCGAGTGAGTGAATGAGCGGGCGAGTGATTTAAAGAGTGGGCGAGAGAGTTAATGAGTGGGCGGGCGAGCGAGTGAATGAGTGGGCGAGTGATTTAAAGAGTAGGCGAGCGAGTGAATGAGTGATTTAAAAAGTGGGTAAACAAGTTAACGAGTGGGTGAGTGATTTAAATAGTGGGCGAGTGATTTAGAGAGTGGGCGAGTGAGTGAATGAGTGGGCGAGTGATTTAAAGAGTGGGCGAGTGATTTAGAGAGTGGGCGAGTGAGTGAATGGGCGGGCGAGTATTTTAAAGAGTGGGCGAGCGACTGAACGAGCGGGCGAATGATTTAGAGAGTGGGCGAGTGAATGAGCGGGCGAGTGATTTAAAGAGTGGGCGAGCGACTGAACGAGCGGGCGAGCGAGCGGGCGGGTGAGCGAACGAGCGGGCGAATGAGTGGATGAGCGAATGAGCGGGCGAGTGATTTAGAGAGTGGGCGAGCAAGTGAACTAGCGGGCGGGCGAGCGGGCGGGTGAGCGAACGAGCGGGCGAGCGAGCGGATGAGCGAACGAGCGGGCGAGCGAGCGGGTGAGCGAACGAGCGGGCGAATGAGTGGATGAGCGAATGAGCGGGCGAGTGATTTAGAGAGTGGGCGAGCAAGTGAACTAGCGGGCGGGCGAGCGGGCGGGTGAGCGAACGAGCGGGCGAGCGAGCGGATGAGCGAACGAGCGGGCGAGCGAGCGGGTGAGCGAACGAGCGGGCGAGCGAGCGGATGAGCGAACGAGCGGGCGAGCGAGCGGGTGAGCGAACGAGCGGGCGAGCGAGCGGATGAGCGAACGAGCGGGCGAGCGAGCGGATGAGCGAACGAGCGGGCGAGCGAGTGGATGAGCGAACGAGCGGGCGAACGAGTGGATGAGCGAACGAGCGGGCGAGCGAGTAAGCAATGGAGCAGTGGGTGGACAACTCCGAGTCCCTGGTGACTCTGTAATTGCGCCGTCACTCACCCTCAGACTCACGCCCTCTCCCACTGCCAACTCTCACGTGTCCTCTCCCCCCCTCTCGCCCACTCTCTCATCTCCCACCACCACATGTTCACTCCCGCCCCACTCTCTCTCACCCTCTCCCTTCCACGCAATTACACAATGCAATGTGTATACAGTGATCCCTCGTTTATCGCGGTTAATGGGACCGGAACCCCTCGTGATAGGTGAAAATCCGCGAAGTAGGATTGGCCCCCTAGGAATTTCTGTATATGTGTGTGTAGGTACCAGAATGTTTAAAATATGTATATTTATACTTTATATATATATATTTTACTTAAATCTATTTAATTATAAAACCTTAATATTATACATTCACTCTCTCTCTCTCTCTCATACGATACGTATCATGGTGTTCTACACTCACCAATGACAGTAGTATCTTGAGACTTGACTCCAGTAATTACGACGACAATGACAATGACGACGATGACAATGATGACAGACCTGTGCAGTTCGATGAATGTGATGATGAATGATGATGATGATGGTGTTACTGCACAGGAATAATGAGGTCCTTTAAATCAGTTCGATGAATATGATGATGAATGATGATGATGATGGTGTTACTGCACAGGAATAATGAGGTCCTTTAAATCAGTTCGATGAATGTGATGATGAACGATGATGATGATGGTGTTACTGCTACAGGTATAATGAGGTCCTTTAAATCAGTTCGATGAATGTGATGATGATGGTGTGACTGCACAGGTAGAATGAGGTCCTTTAAATCAGTTCGATGAATGTGATGATGATGGTGTGACTGCACAGGTAGAATGAGGTCCTTTAAATCAGTTCGATGAATGTGATGATGATGGTGTGACTGCACAGGTAGAATGAGGTCCTTTAAATCAGTTCGATGAATGTGATGATGAATGATGATGA